CAGTGGAATATTATTCAGCCATAAAAAGGAATGAAGTACTCATTTCACATTACAATGTGGCTATACCTTAAAAACATCATGCCAATTGAAAAAAGCCAGTCACAGAAGACCCCATACTGTATGACTGCATCTGTCCAGAATAGGTAAATCCCTAGACAGAAAAGTAAACTAGTGATTGCCTACAGCTGGGGAGATTGGGGGAAAATGGGAAGAAACTGCTAATGGGCCAGGATTTCTTTATGAGTGATGAAAATGTTCTAAAATTGATTTATTGACAACTGTACAACTGTGAGTATAAGAAAACCCACTCAACTGTATACTTTAAGTGGGTGAATCATATGGTATATTAATTATTTCTCAATAAAGCTGTTATAAAAATATATATAAAGCTCACGGCAAGCCTTCAATAAATCACAGATCTAGTTTAAAAAAAAAAAAAGAGTGGAGCTCAGGTAAGACTTGGCATTAAAGAACTTCAGCTTCTGAGGTCCTAAAGGAATGTCACCTATTCCAAGGTAAAGACAAGGGTTCAGACTGCAGCTAATGAAAAAATTCTAAATCTACCCAGGAATTGAGAATCTCTCTGGCCAAGAAAAAAAAAAAAAAAGAGAGAGAGAGAGAGGATAAAAAATATGTAAATATTCTAAGAAAGGTAACACTGATAGATTACTTAAAAAGAATCACCTATCAAAGAGCCTGGAGCAGCAGAGGACACCAGCTGCCTTGGCCATGAAGTCAGAAAAGGAGAAAAGGGGCACAGAGAAGGAAGCCAAAATATGAACCCTGACCATCACCCTGTCTCAGACCAGTCCTGGCTGAGTTAGGACTAACAAACATTACCTTCACCCTAGGTCTTTCTATAGGCCCCCCTCCCACCCCAGGGACCCTCCACTGGCAGAGGAACCTGGGTCATCAAGGAAAGGGGAAAGGAACATAAAAGAACAAATGTCATCATGATGAGAAGAAGCAAACCTTGACCAAACCAGAGAGTTCCCAGACTCTTCTTCCATCATTTGGCCAGGGTACTCAGATGAGGTTAAAACCGTCTAGTACAAGTAAGAAGCAAAGAAAATAATAGGTGACATGTGAGCACTTATTATGTGCCAGGCACTGTGCTTAATGTTTCATATGCATTATCTTATTTAATACAATCACCTATGAAAAGGGTACAATTACTACCCCTGTTTTGCAGATAAGGAAATTGAGAATGAAGAAATTAAGTAATTTACCAAAGTGATCATGGGCAAAACAAATATCAAAGCCCTGACTACAGCCTACCTTAGATTCTCAAAACCATGCTCTTAACCACAATGCTATTAACAGAAATCATAGTACACCAAAAGACTGTAATATAATTACATTAGGAAGATGGGAAGGGAGCATGTAAGGGATAGGAATATTAATCTTCCTATAAATCCCATAACAGGAAGTCAATAGACATCTAAAAGAAATATCACTATAAGCTTATTATTTAAAAACATGGAGGTGAACACCAGACAAAACAGCTACTAAAAGACTTGAAACTCCAAGGTCACAGGTTTTAGACCCCAGATCCCATACAGGCAGCAACCAAAATAAAAAAAGAGTTAAAAGTGGTTACTTCCATGGAGCAGAACTTGGAGTAGGCGATTGCTATCTTCTTTTAGAAAACTTCTGATATTATTAGATCTTTTTAAAATCATAAACATATATTTCTTTGATAAAAAATGATGGATAGAAGGAAGAAAGGAGGGAAGGGAGGGAGAGAAGAGGGATGGATGGATGGATCACCCATGCTAAAGTCTAACATTCTTTTTTTTTAAAAAAAGATGACCGGTAAGGGGATCTTAAGCCTTGACTTGGTGTTTTCGGCACCATGCTCCCCCAAGTGAGCTAACCAGCCATCCCTATATAGGGATCCGAACCCATGGCCTTGGTGTTATCAGCACCACACTCTCCCTTAAAGTCTAATGATCCAATGTCATGGACATCTCTTCTCTTATCACACCACTTCCATTCCCCTCAACTAGGTAACAATACTTGGGTTTGTTGTTGCTTTTTTTTTTTTTTTTTGGCCAGTGCAGAGATCAAACCCTGGACCTCGGAGTTATCATCACCACACTCTAGCCAACTGAGCTAACCGGCCAGCCTAACACTTCAGTTTGCTTTGGATAATCTCCCTCCTTCGCTGGGTAATCAGGTGAGCCTGTCAGTCAAGGAACCCTGTCTTGCCCTGGCCAGGGGACAATAGCACCCTCTCCCTGGAATTATCAGCAGAATGGGAAAAAGACCTAGAATAGCTGGAACCAAAATCACCCGGAAGTAGAAGGCCTCCATTAGTTCCTTCCACCTACCCAGGCCCCAGGACTCCCTAGGTTTGGACTTTTTAAGCTTTCCCTTAAATTCTGTGAGCTGCCCCATTTCCTTCTAATAAATTCCTCTTCTGCTTAAGTTAGCTGGAATCATTCTCTGTTGTTTATAATCAAAGGAAGTTAATGGAAATGTCTAATAGAAATGAGCTTAAGGTTTATTTGTTCTTTTATTTGCCAGTATAACTTACTACAGTGGCTTGCAAACTTTTCCAACCTAAAAAATATATTTTACATCACAATTCAGTAAACAAACACATGCATATATAATATGCACACATATCTATAACTGAGACAAAATTTTTGCCCAAAATGTTTACCCTCACTAACACTCTGAGTGTTAATTCTATTATTTTTTTTTTAATGCTGGTTTCTGACCCACTAAGTTTATTTCAGATCCACTAGTGGTTATGGTCTGCAGTTTTGAAAAACACTGGCTCCTTGTATCTGCTGCATCTGCCTCCAACAACAAAAACAACCCAGAGAGTATATTAGCTATATTTCCATGTCCATGTGTGGTACACTAAGGCACATGGCCTAACTAGTGGGGAAACACCAATAGAGCCCAGGGTCCTGACCCCCACTAGGATACTCCAAAGAGTTCGACTGTCTACACTGCTGACTCCAAAAGAAACATCTGTTCATTTATTTATTCACTCACTCACTTTGCACATGCGCTGAGCACTCATTCAATGGTGTGAATATATGACAGGCTCCTAGGGACTGTCCAGAGCCATAAATTCTATCTGCAGGCTGGCTCAGAGGAGAGGAATTCAGGACAAAGCCTGTCTCCTGACTAACTGTTTACCATCTCCTCCCCCTCCTTAAGGGCCCAGGAATGTCTTCAAGTTGAGATACAGGCGATGGTTATTTCATTCTCAGTTTTGGAATAAAATAAGTCTCAAATTCAGCCTAGAAAGAAGGAATAAAAGGGAATTTCTGTCTCCCCTTGCTCTAGAGGTTTTTGGCTAGCTTTAAACTGATCAGTGGCTGGAGGCTGTCTCAATTCCATGTTCACTATTTTCCTACAGACCCTGTCTGCCCCACCAGACAAGCAGCAAAAACATCAAGGATACCAGAGGTCAACATTTCATTTTCAATGCTGCCAGTGCCTTCTTTCTGGATCTCTTTTCTACAGCGAGCAAAAAAGAAGCCCAAACACACCTCTCCTTTATTTAGCTCATACCCTCTTCCCTGCTTCAACCATTCCAAAACAGAGGGCAGGAGGAAGGAAGAGGACTTGAGACTGACACAACAGGGGATGGATTTTTTCCATCTCTTCAGTGTTCCATAGCTGGGGGAGTGGCAGGAAACAAAAGACCGGGGGTTGGGGGACCAGGGTTGGACAGTAGCAAGGCCTGTATTGTAATGTGGCAGAAACACTCATAGCCTGGGTGGAAATGGAGAGGGGGCTGTGAACAGAATTAAATGATCATCTGTACCCTAAACTTGAAATGAGCACTTAGTCTACAAATATTCTTTGAAGAACAGCCCTAATCCAGATGCAGTTGGGTTAACTCTACCTCAGGGGCATGCTGAGACAGGCATAGGGCAAGGGAATTAGATTGGGGGGTGGGGGGAGATACAAACTCCTCATCACCTTGGCTCCCATTTCACTCTCACCCACAACAACTTGGATAATCGATGAAACAGTACACACCCACTCTGGGTTAAATTCCCCAGCAGAGCCTACAAACACTCAGCCACAAATTACCCTCCTCTACCTCTGGAGAGGAAAAACCATATGGTCAGCTGGGGGGCGGGGAGGAGAACAGGTACTGGGAGCCGAGGAATGAGGGGAGCAGGGCAGACCGGCTTGCACTGGAGAACTCCCCCTCTTTCCCCAGCCCTCACCCCGTCCAGAAGCCTTCGCATGGGTCATACTTCCCTTCCCTTCTTAGCCCAAGTCCTGCATCCCCTTCATCCACTAGTCCCACGCTTGGCAGCTGGAGACGGAAGCAAAACCAACAAACCCTCCCAGGAAGCTATCGGTTGTCCGACAGGGGGAGGGCAGGAGAACTGCAAGCGGGGAGAAGGACAAATCCCAGAAGAGAGGTGACTCCCAAGCGGAAAGCCCTATCCCCCCTAACTAAAAGTAGAGTCTGTCAATTTCGACGTAGCTTGAGTTCTACCGCCCTTTACTCGTCCCCCACCGAGCTGTAGGATTACTTTCTATCCTTTTTCGCGTTACCGCTCACCCAAAGCTCTTTGAAGTGCCTCTGAGGTACCAGTACCCACGAAAAAGCCTTCTCCGCCTCGTCGGGAAACAATGTCCAAAAGAGCGCAGGAATCTGACCCTTGAGCTCATTCTCCAACGACCCAGTCTAGCTGCCCACAGGACGCCTGAGTAAGGCGCACTAAAACCCGCGGCCCAAGCACGGGCTCACAGGCGCCGAGTCCCATGCAGGTGCCGCAGTGCCCTCCCAAAGGGTAGGGACGCCCTGAGCCCTCGCGCCTCAAAAGAGTCTTCATCCTGCGACTCCCTGGGACTCCCACTGCCTGCCACGGGGCGACAGAAAGGAAAAGAGAAGCGACGCGAAGGGCTAACCGCCCCGAGCTCGGCACCAGGTGATGTAACGAACTCGGCGCGGCTCACGGGAGGGGCGGAATTCGATACCAAGCGAAGGAGGCTGTGTAGGCGCTATTTCTTACCGCGGTCCGGTTCTCCGGGTTTACGTCCACCAGGGTACACCAGTTCCGCGTCCCGTTCATCTTCTCCCCGCCGGGGGTGGCAGAACGGAGCAACCTCTCGACCCTGGGGTCCGGCTCCTACTAAGCGGGCGCCAGCGGAACCGCCCCCTTGTATACGCTCGTCGGGGGTGAGGGCTGAACAGGTCACGCCCTAGGATGCTGTTCACCAACCAGAGCGAGGAAAAGGGTGAGGGGGCGGGGCCAAGAGGCTTCGGGACACATTCCATTGGCACTCGCTCAGATTGACATAAAGGTGAGGCTTAGAAGCGACCAGGGGCTGTTTAGTTTTTTTTCTTTTTTTTAATTTGGTGGCTGGCGGTTTGGGGAGCTGAACCCTTGACCTTGGAGGCTTCTTAATTAAACAGTTTTGTTTGGCTTATGTGCCTGTATCTCAACATTCTTCGTTAGTCTTGTCTCCTCCTTTCAACTCTCTAGGATGAGTGTTGGTCAGAGGAAGTCATCCTTCCTGCCCTTAGAGGATAAGGAATTGGAACTCTCAAAAGCTTCCATAATTCTCTCCCATATACGAGGGTACTTCAAAAGCTTATGGAAAAATAGAATTAAAAGATAATACGAATATTTCCATGAACTTGTTGAATTAAAAGTTAATATGAATCTTTTCTCAAACTTGTCGAAGTACCTTCCTATAAGCCAGCAGACCTGAGTAAACCTTTCCTCCACCGTAAAAAGGCAGACACCAAGGGCCAACTCACTCAGACTGGCCTGAGCCAGTCTGGCAGGTGCCCTTCCCTGGCAAGAGGCCCAGACCAAAGTCAAAGCCAGCTAGGCTCTGGGTGGGGCTTGTTTTGCAGACGTTATTATACCCAAACTACCCTTACACGGTTGGGAGAGGCGGGACACATCACCTTAAAAGGAATTTGTATTCTTGAGAAAGGATGAGCCTCAACTTCTCCGATGGCATTTGCTCCCCAAGCCTAGGCTGAGATCTAGAAGAGAGGGTTGGCCAAGCAGGACCCTGGAGCCTCTTCCCAACCCAGCTGCTCTCAGCAGATGGCTTCTCCACTGGGCTATGGTCCACGTGGGCTGCAGGCAGAATAAGTCAGGAGATCTGACCCACTCTTGAGAGGGCTGTACCCCTATATCTGGCAATAGGCTCTGGTGAACCGCTAGCTCCTTCTTCAAGGCAACACAGGGATGGCAGAAACTTCCCTACCTCCCAGAAGGGACTGGGTCCCATGCCAGTTAGGAATGGATGGAGACCTCTGTATCTTGGTGAATGCTGGGGATATCCTTGTGGTCCAAGGGAATAAAACCAAGTTCTTTTCTGTTCCCCTCTAGCCCTCAGAGAAGGCATTTATTGGCCTTGCTATTCCTAGAAGGTTGTTCAGGAGAGAATGGGGCTGCTATAAACACCTCCAGGTTTCCTAGGTCAAGGGCCTCTGAAAAATGAGGTGAAAAAAACTCCAGCTTGCCTCTAAGCTTTGCAGTTAAAATGACTACTTCATAAAACTTGGACCTCCAAATAAGCCAGGAAAAAGAATGAAAAGACAAGCCAAGGATTTCAGTATAGATATATAATTTTAATATTTAATTTAAAATAAAACCAAGGCTGGGCTGGATTGGGAGAGAATGTCTGATCTGCAGAACAATTTAGGAATTTTTTTTAAGATCATGAAATTACAAGTCATTGGTGAGAACAGCCTTCTTCCTCCTGCAGGCTCCATCCAGAACCTGCTTAGGAAATAAGAGAGGTGAATCATTCCCCTTACCACCTCCCCACCAGGGCTTGGCTTTCCCCAAAATCCAAAGGAGGAATAAATTCTCCATTGCCTCTTCCCATTTCTACCAAAAGTCAGCTTCTAGCCCCAGGTGAAGCCCTGAGTTAGGGTCAAGCTCCTGAGAAAATGAGGATCTCTTGGTTCACTATTGAGGCTGGGCACATCTGGTCAAAGAAGCCACAAGGAAGGCCAGAGGGACTAAGACCTTTACTTTTCGAACTTGAATAAACAGTAGTCAGGGTTCCCAGGTACGACCATCTTATAACCATATCCACAGTCTCAGAGAAGGGAGAGGAGGAAGAAGGGAAACCCTGAGCAGAACCAGGCCCCTACCACCTTAAACTTATCATAGCCCTACCAAAGACAATCTCCCAGGGGCTCACTGACGGAGAGGCCAGTAGCTCTCTCGACCAGTCACTGGGGCAGGGAGGGCTGAGGGCCCCAGTAGGGGGAAGGCTGGTCTTCAGAGAGGTATGAATGTGTAGATATAAAAGGCAAGAAGAGCATCCTTATCTCCTCACCCTGGCTAAGGCACTGAGAGGAAAGATGCAAGGTAGGAATCGTAAAGATGGAAAGGGAGAGAATAAAGTATCCCTTGGACCTGCTGGCTTGGAGAAGACAAAAATAGGGGTGTGGGGACGGCCACATGACCCCCACAACTGTGCAAAGAGCATCTGAGAGGTGAGGAGAGCCACGCCATTATCCATAATGTTCCCCTTACCCTGTTGCAGAGTGGGAGGAAAATGGGTTGCAGGAATCCAGGCAGCAGAACAGCATAGGGTATTTCCCTGAGCCTTAGGGGTAAGGGCTAAAGAAATAAAGCTTTATACACATGGCAATTTCTATCCCTTCCTATTCTGCTCAGTCCCTCTCAGCCCATATGCTGACCATCCTTCCAATATGAGGGAGATGAGAGAAGGGTTGGCACTTAAGGGCTCGGTTGGCCTAAAATATACACTCCTCCAATGGAAAGGGAAAGTCCAACCATAAGCTTATTACTGTTGTCTTTTTTATCATCATCACTCAGACCCCTCCCTGTCTTAGGCCTGAATAATTGGTCACGCATAGGAATGAGCAATCTGAGGCAGGCAGGCAGAGCAGGGCTCTCTGGGATAGGTCTTGAGTCTGGTTTCGGGACCCTGGAGGACAACAGACTAACAGGAACAGGTCTGAAGGTTGCTCTCTGTAAGCAATGATGCGATGGATGAGGGATCGTAGACACTGTCAAATTCCTCATCTGAGCTCAGCCCTTCGTGTTTGAGAGTTGATTCAGTAGCTGAGCGGGCAGCTTTGCGCCTAAGTCAGAGGGAAGAATACTGGTAAGGGAAGGGGAATAGAAAGATTGAGACAGCCACCCTTTTTATGCTAAGGAAATTCCAATTCTTCTAAGGCCTAAAGCTGCTCACAAGATCCCCCACTAATCAGAGATTTGAGGAGGTGGGGCACAGGATGCTAAAGTACTAAGAAATAACCATACTGGCTTCCAGCCAGGAATAAGTGACTGTATAGTCCTGTTTTAGAGCTTCTCTTCCTTATCCAGCTCAGGATAAACTATTCCCTTCCTGCTCTACTGTCCCTATGGAGCAGGGGGCAGAAGGGCGGCCCATACCAGGAGTCCTTCTCCAGGGATTTGATCCGGGCCTGGAGCTGTTCATTGACCTCATGCTGCTCCTCCAGCTCACGCTGGGCCTTCTTCCTCAGGCCATCCAGTCGCTCAATTTCCTCTTCTGCTTCATCCACCTGCCGCTTCAAAGCCTTCACCCTCAGGCTTAGCTGGGCAGAATACCAAGTCCCCACATTAGAAAAGCATCTGTTGGGGCCGGCCTGTGGCTCACTCGGTAGAGTGCGGTGCTGATAACACCAAGGCCACGGGTTCGGATCCTATATAGGGATGGCCGGTTCGCTCACTGGGTGAGCGTGGTGCTGACAACACCAAGTCGAGGGTTAAGATCCCCTTACTGGTCATCTTTTAAAAAAAAAAAAAAAAAAAAAAAGAAAAGCATCTGCTACCATGGCCTAGGACTCTCCCCTGTAATAATCTTGACAAGGAACAATTGCCCCTGGAAAAAATGTTGTGACTGTGGGCAAGTTCTCTAAACTTATAGGGTTTTCTTGGTGATTAAATGAATTAATGCACGTATAACACTTAGAAAAAGAACCTAGCACATCACAAGCACTCAATACATATGCTTATTATGACTGCTCTAGTCTAGTCCTTTCAATCTAATCTCTTTGTCCTTATAAAAAGAAAGTTTAAGTTTGAAAGACCTATGGGAGATGAGGGCCTCCCTTGGCCTTCAAACAGATGCATAATATATGTTTGCCCCACGGTTCTTGGCCCCAGGGTGCCATGTCCTTACCTGGTCTTTCTGGTCATTGACATGCTGCCGCTCATCATCAATCTGGATGGACAGCTCTTTAACTCTCCGCTCCAGTTTTCGGTTGGTGGACTGCAGAACTGTCTTCTCCCTAACAGGGTGGGTGAGGTAAAGGGATGTCTACGGCTGTTGCCATTTCTAAGGAAACCCTTAATAGGCCCCGTACTGCCTCTAAAGACTTCTCTCAGTCATGAGCCCCACCATTAGACTTGGGAAAATCCAGGGCAGATCCAAAGAAACAGGGAGATAGAGATTACTCACATTTCCGAATTTCTACAACTTTCTCCGCTCTCTATCAGGAGAGAAGAGCTCCCTAAAGATCAGGCCAGGTTGGCCATATCTAAAGTGGAAGATGGTGGGAGTCCCAGAGCAGAAAAGTCCAAAGAGAAGAGGGAGGAAGAAAAGGAGGGAGAGAGAACAGGCTTGTGTCACCTCTCTTCAGCCTGTAGCTGCTCCTGCAACAACTGATTCTGGGACTCAAGCTGAGAGAGGCTGGCATTGGGCTTCTGGAAGCCTTCTGAGCTGGCCAACCGGGTCTTCAAGTCTTTGTTCTAAGAGGGACAGGAAGCTTTCACAGTGAGCACTCTACTTGGTCATTCTACCAAGCTCTAGGGGTCTCTCCTCAAGACTCTCCATGCCCCTTCACCTGTCTCTCCAAGGAGATTTTGTCACACTCCAAGTCTTGCCGAGCTGATCTCTCCTGCATGAGCTCTGTCCTCAGCTGATCCACCTGGTTGGAATGGGTGAGAGGAATCAGCCTTGGGGAGGGCTAAGGATGAACCAGCAAGCTGGACCAAGTGAGGCACAGTAACTGGAGGATAGTCTCTGAGCCCTGAATTCCAAAAATTCCCAGGCAACTAAGAAATCTCAGCCTATTCAAATGGAAGGAGCCACAGAATTGAAACAAGACCTCAATCCCACCAGGAACTAGCATCCCTTCTGAACCAAAGTAGCCCCACCTCAGGTCAGACAGCAGCCCAGCCCACCAGGATTCCTTCTTCAACTCAAATTCTTGGCTTCTTTCCACCTGAGAAAACTGGCCAACCCTTCCTGAAGCAGACAAGACCCTGAAGTAGACCCAGCCATGCACAGATTCTGCAGCCAAAACTCTCCCAGTTACGAAAGATAAGAAGGTAGAGTTGTTTTGGAGAGGGACAACAGGTTAAAAATAGTCAGGGATAGACATAGATGAGGGGTGAGGAAGAGGTTACCTGGTCCCGGCCACGATTCACCCGGTCCGTTAGCAGCTCCACGGTGTTCTTCTCCTCATCTAACTCTGCCTCAAGCCGTGAGACTTTTTCCTATGACAGAAAGACAACAGATTAATTCTACCCCAAATGCTAGACACTAGAATGCCAAACTCAAACCAGGACCCTCTCAAACTCCAGCCTCCATAAACTTTTCTCTCTTGTACATCCCAGTTACCTTCGGTCCTTGCCCCTGCCCAGAGCCACTATGGAGCTAGCACCCTCTGCTGACCAGGTGTGGCATCAAAGGGAGGGATGGGACATGCTCTGGTCATGGCCCCCAGCAGGAAGGCAAAACTGAGAATCCATTCCTCATTGAAGAACCCTATTTCCCTAATGGGTAGACGGAGAGAGAAACCCAAGTACCTGGGCCAAAGCTGAGATGGAGAGACTCAGAAACTGGAGCACCAGAGTACAGATTGAGGGAACACACTCTAGCCAAGCAGTACCATGTACAGGCTAAGAGTATAAATGTGAGGCCAGACCCTTGGGTTTGAAAATCAGATCTATCACTTCCTGGCAGTGGAACCATGGACAATTTACTTAATCTCTCTGTGCCTCAGTGTTCCTCATCTGTAAAATGGAGAAAATAAGACTATCCACTCCACAGGGTTATTCTGAGGATTAAATGAGTCTTAAGTGCCTGGCACATAGCACAATATATGTTTGCTGCTGCTTCTATTATCATTATTATTATTATTATCAAATACAGCAAATTAAAGACCATTATTCTCTCTAAAGGGGGAGGCCACTGCTCAGTTCTAGCCAACTGTTGCCATGTAGAACTCAGGACTAGAAGCTCAGTATTATCACATTTTCCAAATATAAAAGAAGCCAGAAATCCAAACTTTTATGTGACATCTATAAATTTCTAAACATTGGCAATTAATTCAAAGTTATTTAAAACATTGCAGTCAAACAAAACCCATCAGCCAGTTTCAATCTCTAGTATAGAAAAAGGCTTGGAGTGTCATGGTTCCTTTCCCTACAGAAGTCCCACCTGTGCCTGGACCCAGAACCCCCTCCCTTTTTCCCCCCAAAGGTCACCCTCCAATGTCCTCACCTCAAGGCCCTTCAGTTGCCGGGCCCTGTCATCCTGGGAGCGCTTCTTGTTCTCTGCCTCTTGCTCCAGCCCCTGCAGTCGCTGGGCCAGCAGCTCTTTGTCCAGCCGGGCTGTGTCTCGCTCAGCCTGGGATGCCTGCAGGGCCTGACGCAACCTCTGGATCTGAGCAGAAGAAAAAAATGCAATAGTTTGGCGTAGTAAGAAGGTGGGGGTTGAGAGGTGGAAACAGCCCATCTCTGTGGGAAGAAATATTTCATTACTGACATTCTTTGGAATTGTCAGCACATGGTGATAATAAAATGCAGACTGACTTTTAGTCCATTTTGTTTATTGTTTTAAAATTCCCTACACAAACTGGAATCACCTGAGTTCTTAAAAAATACTGAGCCTGGGTCCCACCCCCAGAGATTATGATTTAAGTGGTATGGGATTTAGCTTGGGCATTGGGATTTTTTAAAATCTCCCCAAGGGCCAGCCCGTGGCTCACTCGGGAGAGTGTGGTGCTGAGAACACCAAGGCCCCGGGTTCAGATCCTATATAGGGATGGCCGATTAGCTCACTGATTGAGCATGGTGCTGACAGCACCAAGTCAAGGGTTAAGATCCCCCTACAGGTCATCTTTAAAAAAAAAAAAAAAAAAAAATTTTTCCCCAGATGACTCTAATGTACAACAGAGTTTGAAAATCACTGCTCTACAGACAATGTCCTTACCTAGAGTGGACAACTCCCTCCACCCTACTCCACCTTAGTATGTCACTGCAAGTGGTTAGACCTAAACCTGGGCCCCAGATGCCTGGCCACAGGTTCAGTTAAGAGACAATAACCTTCAAACCCAAGGACATTGGGATGGTTCCCACCCTCTTGCTATTTAGGCTCCTACCTCATCCTGAAGATGGCTCAATCCCCCAGAGGTCTTCTCAGCCTCACTGGCCCAATCCTTGGCCTGGCGCTGGGCTTCTGCCACCTCCCGCCGAGACTTTTCCTTGTAATCCTCAAGCTGGGCCTGGAGGTGCTGTAGGGCTTGCTTAGAGTCCTCCCCAATCTGCTCCAGCTAAAACACAAAGAAATGAGTTTCCAGCACTGCACCTCTTTAACAGATGCCTGTGTCCCCAGGCCCAGATTCCCAAGACTCCCCCAACAGCTTCCTTCCTGCCAAAGGAGCCCTTTCTTTTTCTTTCCTGGTCCTAGGTCTCTAGCATGTTTGGTAGTTATATACAGATACCTGGGTTCAAATCCTGGTTCTACTACTTACTACTACTAACTTGACTATAGGCAAGTTACTTATCCTCTCTGGGTCTCAGTTCCCCATCCATAAAATGGGATAATAGTAGGGCTGGCCCGTGGCTCACTCGAGAGAGTGTGGTGCTGATAACACCAAGGCCATGGGTTTGGATCCCTATATAGGGATGGCCAGTTAGCTCACTTGGGAGAGCATGGTGCTGACAACACCAAGTCAAGGGTTAAGATCTCCTTACCGGTCATCTTTAAAAAAAAAAAAAAGGATAACAGTAGCATCTACATCACAAGGTTGTCAAGAGAATTATGTTAGTAAATTATGTAAAGTACTTAAATCAGTGCCTGATATGAAGTAAACCTTAAATGATCATATATTGGCAAACCCAAGCTGCCAATGATTATATGTACCACTAAGAAAGAAAAATTTGCCAATTGAGCTATGACATACCATCAATTATATGACAACCCAACCACATGATCCAGCAATCCCACTACTGGGTATATATCCAAAGGAAAGGAAATCAGTATGTTTAAGATATCTGCACTCCCATGTTTATTGCAGCACTATTGACAATAGCCAAGGTATGGAAACAAGTTAATATGGAAACATTCATCAACAGATGAATGGATAAAGAAAATGTGGTATATATACACAATGGAATATGATTCAGACATAAAAAAAGAATGAAATCCTGTCATTCACAGTAATATGGATGAACCTGGAGGACATTACACTAAGTGAAATAAGCCAGGCACAGAAAGATAACTACCATAAGTTCTCACACATATGTGACAGCTAAAAAAAGTTGATCTCATAGAAGTAGAGAGTAGAATAGTAATTACTAGATGCTGTAAAATATGAGGGTAAGTGGGGGATAGGGAGAGGCTGGTTAATGGATAGAAAATTACAGATAGATAGGAATAAGTTCTGTGTGTTATAACACTGTAGGGTGACTATAGGTAATAATTTATTGTATATTTTCGAATAGCTAAAAGAAGATTTTGAATGTTCCCAACACAAAGAAATGACAAATAAATGTTTGAGATGATGGATATGCTAATTACCCTGAGTTGATCATTACACATTGTACACATATACCAAAATATCACGTTGTACCTCATAAGTATGTACAATTATTTGCCAATTAAAAAAAGACACAAACCCATTTCAGAGATGATAAATGTGCACTTTTTAAAAACTGACAAATGAAAAAACACGCACATTAGAACTGATGTCACATATTAGGTGTTTGCTTTTGTTTTATAAAGCAAGAGATTGGGAAGACAACACTTACCAGCAAAATGCATTTATTTACTTTTCTTCCTTTTTCCTTCCCCTCCCCCAAATTTACAATTCTACCAATGAAGATTCCTGTGTTTAGGTCTTACAGACTTCTAAGGCATGATTCAAGGAGATACTCTCCAAGAACTAAGACCATAAAGAAACGGGATGTGGAGGGGAAGGGGAAAAACACAGAGGGGAGGTAGGAAGGCTGCCACTTTCTGAGACTTGCCCTTGGACTTCCCAACAATGTCCTTGAGGAAAGCCACCACCACACATTCTGCCCCCACCCCCACCACCCCATAAGCTTCTGTGTGAGCTGGGCCTCTTCCACCCCGTGCCCCACCTCTTTGTTCAGCCGGTCCACAGTCCTGTCCAGCAATCGCTTCTGCTCCTCCAGCTCAGCCTTGCCCCGCCGGAGAACCTCCCGCTGCTTCCCCTCCTCCTCTAGGGCCCGGTTCAGGGCCCGCCGCTCCTGCCCCAGGCGGGCCAGCCCCCGCTGAGACTCCTCTAGCCGGGCTTCCAGTGCCCGCTTGGCGGCTGCCAAGCTGCCCTCCTCTTCCTGAGCCACATTCAGGGCTTCCTCCAGCCGCTGTTTCTCTGCCTGGGAGCGGGGCGAGAAGCGGGTGTGGACTGGGAGGAGGCAATGCTTGGGCTTAAGCCATTTGGAGTGGGGTAGGTGGGAGGGAGAGGAAGGAGGTGGTCATGAAAACGGTGGGCAGCGAAAAGAGGCTCAGAAGAACCAGCAAAGAAACTGGCACAGAGAGCAAGCAAAAGGTGGGAGAGAAGAGACAAAAACACCAGCGCAAAGTCTGAAACATTCACACCAAAGTACATCCCAGGAAATATGACAACCCAACTACATGATCCCGCAATCCCACTATTGGGTATATACCCAAAGGAAAGGAAATCAGTATGTCCAAGGTTAACAGCGGGTTTGGGGAAGCAAAACAGAAGCACTCTAAGGGCAAATTAAAACCGATGGCTGACTGCTCAACGTGGGAAGATGTCGCCAGGCTGCGGGTACAGAGGATTGGGGGAAGCCAACACTGGGCAGGAGCACTGACCTCCAGCCGCTGCACCTTGTCCCGAAGTCGTGCCTCCACCGCTTCCCCACCCTCCGCCAGGCCTCGCGCCTCCTTCAGCTGCTGCTCCAGACCCAAGATGCGCCGGCGGAATTCGTCATTCTCCTCCTGGGTCTCCCGAAGCGTGCTCTCCACGGCTGCTCGCCGCTGCCCCACCACTGCCGCCTCCGCCTCGGCCGCCACCTTGGCCTAAGGGCGGCCAGGGAGGGCGGCTCAGACCCCCGGGCTCAGGCCCCAGGTCATCTGCCGCCCACCACAAGGATGAAAGAGGGTGGTGCCACCAGCCAGAGGCTCCCTGAGAGCCCCACCCCTACTGGAATGCAGTGGGTGTCACCAGGTACAGGGGCCTCCCCCTGCCAAAACCTGGCTGCTTGGGCCGGCCCGTGGCTCACTCGGGAGAGTGCGGTGCTGATGGCACCAAGGCCCCGGGATCGGATCCCATATAGGGATGGCCAGTTTGCTCACTGGCTGAGCGTGGTGCTGACAACACCAAGTCAAGGGTTAAGATCCCCTTACCGGTCATCTTTAAAAAAAAAAAAAAAAATCCTGGCTGCTTTAATCACACATCTAGAACCAAGGAGCTGGTCCTATGATACATACCCATGATAGGAAACTTTCCATGCCCTCTGGCTCCTCGGCCCTCCAGACCCCTCAGCCTCCACCTCCTAAGCCCTGTGCCCACTCCCCTTGCCTTGGAAGCCTCTTCACAGTCCTGTCTCAGGTGCTGGAGGGTCTCTTGTAGCTGGAGGTTCTGTTGTTCCAGTTCCCGGCCTCGATCTGCCTCGACCCTCAGGACTGCCAGCTGCTTCTCCAACTCCCGGTCCCGATGTCGCCCAGCCACCTCCTGGCTCTGCCGCTCTGTTAGCAGCTCCTTAAGCTCCTCCTGTGTCCTGCGCAGTTCCTAGAAGGGAAGGGGAATGGTGACCAGCACTGAGAGCCAGACTGATACCAGAATGTGGAGAAATTGAAACTCATACATTACCAGAGGGAACGTAAAACAATGTGGCCACTTTGGAAAGCAGTTTGGCAGTTTTTCAAAAAGTTAAACATGGAGTTACCAGATGACCCAGCAATTCCACCCCTAGGTATATACCCAAGAGAACCGAAAATATATGTTCACACAAAAACTTATACATGAATGTTTACAGCTGCACTATTCATTATAGCACAAATATAGAAATGACCCAAATATCCATCAATTGATGCATAAACAAAATATGGTATAGCCACAAAGTGAAATATTGTTCAGCCATAAAAAGGAATAAAATATGATACTTGCTATCACATGGATGAAGCTTGAACACATTATGCTAGGTGAAAGAAGCCAGACACGAAAGGCCTCATATTGTAGGATTCCAATTGTATAAAATACCCAGAACAGGCAAATCCAGAGAGACAGAAAGTAGATTAGTGGTTGCCAATGGGTGGAGGGAATTATTGCCAATAGGTATGGGACATCTTTTTGGGGCGATAAAAATATAATTACCTAGTGGTGATGGTTGCAAAACTTTGTGAATATACAAAAACCACTGAATTGTACACTTTACTTATTTATTTATTTATTTATTTATTTTTAAAGATGACCGGTAGGGCCGGCCCGGTGGCGCACTGGATAGTGCGCCGCTTGGGAAGCGCGGCAGCGCTCCCGTCCGAGGGTTCGGATCCCACGTACAGACCGGCTCCCGCTCACTGGCTGAGCGAGGCGCGGGAGCAACGCCGAGGCTTGCGATCCCGTCGCCGGTCCCCGGTCCGGTACGGGGGCAACACTGAGGGTTGCGATCCGTTGCCGGACACGGAAAAAAGACAAAAAAATAAAATAAAATAAAGATGACCAGTAAGGGGATCTTAACCCTTGACTGGGCGTTGTCAGCACCACGCTCAGCCAGTGAGCGAACCGGCCATCCCTATATGGGATCCGAACCCATGGCCTTGGTGTTATCAGCACCACACTCTACCGAGTGAGCCACGGGCTGGCCCGAATTGTACACTTTAAAAGGGTGAGTTTTATGATATCTGAAATATAAGTCCATAAAAAAAATTATGTAGAGACTGAGTGGATAAGGGTATGGATAGAACAAGATTGACTATTTAAGAAAATATATCGAAAATCAAAATATGTGACAATAAATATCAGTGCAGCTAATTTCTTTTAAAAAGGAAATTAAAATGAGTTCTGGTTCTAATTCTTTAGCTATTAGCTACTTCTGAAATTCAGAAAGAACCATAATTAGGCTGGAGGGTTATATAACATGAGCATGTACTGAGTCTTCAACGTAAGACACTAACAAAACTAATTACAAAGATAAAGAGAAATAGTAGAGTGTATGGTCTATATTGAATTTGGTTAGTCTGTTTTCCTAATGATATTTCATTTATTGATTAAATACCTGATAAAGTATACTTAATACCTGAGATATATGAAACACTAGTTATTGCTTTTTAGCTTTAGTCAGAAAAATAAATCAACTGAAATTGTCCAGAGGATTGTTCAAGTTCACTGTGTCAGCTAATAAAGTGAACAGACTTCAGGCTATCCTTGGTATTTGTTAACTTCCAAACAAGACAGTAAAAATGTAAGAGTAATATTAACTTCACCATCTTTTGGGAGTTTTTCTGAGAAAACAGAATTTTAAGTTACACAACACAGCACTACATCACCAAAATGTATTTAGTTATTTATCTTGGTTTTCTCTACAAATATTTCATGTAATCTCAGGTTTTTATTTATCTAAAAATAATCATTGTAGCTACTTCTACACTCAAAGATATGATCACCATCATTACAATTAGGCAGTCTTACAGTAGAGGCATAATAAACAAACATCAATGAACTAATATTTTTAACAAACACATACTACGTATCAATAAATGTAGAGCTAGAAGGATCTTCAAGAGGCCATAAATGCCAATTCCCTATAATTACTGAAAAGACTTTCTAAACTACCTAAATCATCCAAAATAATTAAAGTTGACCCTTGAACAACATAGGTTTGAACTGCACGGGTCCACTTATACATGGATTTTTTTTAATACAGTCTGCCCTCCATATTGGCAGGTTCTACATGCACAGATTCAACAAATTGTGAATTGAAAATACAGTATTCACATGATGCAAGACCTGCGGATATGGAGAACCAGTCTTTCATATCCGCGAATTGGCAAGGTCAATTTCAGGACTTGAACATCCACAGATTTTGGTGAACTAATCCCCCACAGACACCGAGGGATGACTGTAGTTGCCTTCTTACCCTTCATAAATGCAAACACTGAGAATATGAAGAAATCGTTTGTGTTCACTTCAATTTTTTTTATCATTTGTGATTCTTTTATAAAATATCATCAATGCAAGGTAAAAAGAGAATTTAAAAAAAACAGAGAGTGAATTTTACATGAACTTTGAGTGTTACAGCCCCACCAGCAAGGCTGTGCCTTGGAGACTGGGGAGGTGAACATATTAAACACTGGGATCCATGTCCAGATTCTATTCTCTCTAAATAGCCTTCAGAATACAATTTGGCTTCCCATGTAGGTCAGCTGGCCATGCCAATGCAAGTATTCCAGTCCATGTGATAATATTTCTCATTGTAAATTAATCTAACTATAAACATTTGTTTCATAAATCATAGATATAGTTAAGGAGTTCCCCCTGAAAGACAGAGCAGCTTTTGCTATGCTGACCAAATTAGGTTTCTGAGTTTATAAAAACGATCCTGGAGTTTCACAAATCCACCTAATGGTGCTACCCATGAGGTCTTTTGGGAGGCAGCCAGAAGCCTCTGGCTATACCTCAACCTGGCAATCTAGCTGCTGAGAGCCCTTTCCATTAGAAACCTCTATACTCAATGAAGTAACCAGCCCTGCTGTGCTGGAAAGAGAGAAGGCTGAGCCAGCGGGATGGAGCCTGAAAACCAAGCACACAGGAGACAGACCCACTAATACAGAGGCCCTCATGAGGCAAATACCCATCACACCCTGACTTGCCATTCTACCCTTCCACCCCCAAGTACCTTCTTGAGCTCCTCAACCTGGCGAGTATCTCCAACACCAACTCGGGCCTGCTCTAATTCCCTCCGCAAGGCCTCTATCTTCTCCCCAAGCTCCTCTTCCATTTCTTCCTTCTCCATCCGCAGCTGCAGCAGTCTGAGCCCAGCGAGGAGAAATAAGGAGGAAAGGGAACATGGTCAGGCCACCCGCCTGGGGAAGGTTAATAAGAGAATGGAAACCACTCCCTCAAGGCCAATACACTGGGCACTCACTCTCAAGAGGGAGGAAAAGCAGTTTGAGAAATGGGACAGTAAGAACACAGCATGGGCAGAAAGAAATTGTGATGTAAGAATCATAGATAAGTATTCCTGGGAGAGGAGCAAAGTCCTTACTCCTGCTTGGTGGCTCTAAGTTCCTCCTTATTCTTCTGGAACATGCTCTGCCAATGCCCTGTCTCCTCTGAGGTCTCCTCCAACTCCTTCTGCAGCTCCCGCACCAGGGATGACATCTTCTGCCTCTCAGCCTCCAACGCTGCATGGTCCTACAGAAGAGGAGTGTTGGGCACCAGGAGACTCAGGCTAAGACAGCACCGTGCCATTTGTGCTCCCTGACACCCTACTGGTACCTGGTAAAATGCTAGCAGAAGGTCCTCTCCCCAAGTCAAAGTCCACCCCTCTGTCATCCACAGGAAGTCTCCCGCAGTTAGTTCCCCATGACACTATGGTCACACACCTGTAGGGTACTACTGGCTTGCACTCCTTTCCCCTGCCCTTGTAAATTTCCTGGCCAAGGTTTTCACTAACATCTCACATATATCTTTTAGGGGGATTTCTCAGTTGCAACAGTGAAAAGTCCAAAAATACAAGATCCCAAGGCAGCTCTGTTCCCTGGCAGTGTCCTCCTCTCCCAGTCCCTACTCTTATCACATGCCTGGGTTGCATCTTGCATGCTCCGGCGAAGCTGCTCTGTGTCTCGGTGGTACTGCTGCCGGACATGCTCCACCTCCTGGTCACGGGAAGCCACCTCTTCCTTCAGGGCCCCCTTCAGGGCTGTCAACTCCCGCTCTCGCAGCCTGAGTTGCTCCTCTATTCGCTGTTTACCCTCCAAGACCTCCTCCAGAAGCTCCCGTGCCTCTAACAGGTCCTGGGGAGATGGAAGTGCAGAGGTGACCATATTAGGATCCATCTGCCTATTAATTAATTCACTAACTCAATCAAAATATATTTACTGAGCACTTTGTGTTAGGCGCTGTACCAGGTGCTCTCTGGCTTGGTTGGGATAAAGGAAACCTACCATTCTGGGCTCTAGTCCCACCCCACCATTGAGTACACCCAAAAGCACACGGAGGAGTACCCGCAATCAGCAATCCACTCTCCATACTTTGGGGAAATCATGGATGAGCAGGGTTGAGGATGCTCCAGCTAAAAGGAAACACAGCCTGGGATACACACCCCACTCCCTACCTTCAGTAATACCTCCTTGGCAGGCTCAGGACCCTGAACCTGTTTCAGCTTGTTCTGCAGCTCCATCACCTGGGTCTCCAACCCATGTCGTAACTTTTCACCCTGGTCCAGGAGGATTTTCATGTTCTGTAGCCTAATAATAGATAGCACACATGACATATGATATGATAGCACGATGTGTCACGCAATTTTTGAAACACTTCACATATATCAATTCATTTAAACCTCCTTTAAGTCTTTGTTCAAATCTTAATGAGGCCTCCCCTGATACCTTATTTAATACTGCAACCTGCTCCCCTACAACCTGCCCCTCCTGATCTGCTTTATCCTGTTCTACTTACAGTCTTCTCACATATTACAAATTTACTTACATAATATGTTGTTTACTGTCTGTTCCCTCTCACCAGAAACCAAGCTTCCAGAGAGCAGGGCCTTCATCTGTATGGTTCACTGATGTACTTCAGGAAACTAGATCAGTGCCTATCACACAGCATTCATTGCAAAAACATCTGCTGAATGAATGAATGAATCCTCACAACAATCCTGTGAGGTAGGTACTATTATTAAGCTCATTTTACAGATTAAGAACCTGAAGCACAGAGGCAAACCCAAGTAGCCTAACTACGAATCGTGCACTATCACCACTACTAATAGAAAAGATAAAGAAAACGGTCATATATTTAAACCATCCCTGCCCCTTTCAGCTTCTGGAGATTTCCCTTTGTCTCCTTCAACCCTGTAGCCCCCAAGTAGTCCCACATGTGCCATCAGCTGCACTCACTCCTTGTTGCTCTGCTGGGCTTCCCCTTTTCTTCTCTCCAGCAGCTCCTGCAATCGGCTACACTCTTCTGCCTTCTCCTCCAGCTGCCGCTCCAACCCAACCCAGGATGGCTCCAGTTTTTGCCGCTTCTGGAAAAGGGAAGGAGAGTACAGCAGGTGGAAAGTAGGGAAAGCCTCTTATGAAGACCCAGAATAGGGCTTGTTGTTTAGCTCAGCTGGTTACAGCATGGTGTTAATAACACCAAAGTCCAGGGTTCAATCCCTGTACCAGTCAGCCACCAAAAACAAAACAAAAAAACCCAAAGACCCAAAATAATGGAAATATCTAACATTCATTAGACACTCACTATATGGGGGGCAGTAGGGCAAGCTTGAGAACTGAGCCCTCAACCTGTGGGATCTGATGCTATCTCCAGATAGATAGAGTTAGAATTAAATTGGAAGCTTCCCGGCTGGTGTCCACTTCAGAATTGTCTGGTGTGTGGGGGAAAAAATCCACACATTTTGTCACAGAAGTCTTCTGTGTTGATTGTTGCTGAGTAAGAGTAGAGGAAAAGCACTTTGGCTGGTCTTTCACCTATATACTCAGATTTCTAATGTGTTCTGCCTCCCTAAGCTCTGAAGACCCCCAAAGTCCCTACTAGGACCAGTGCACACTCTATCTCTTGTATCACAAGGCACAAGTGTGCTCATTCCATTGCTTGGAAGAGCCAGCCCAGCCCATCTCCAGGCCAAGGTTTTTTTTGTTTTGTTTTGTTTTGTTTTTAAAAGATGACCGGTAAGGGGATCTTAACCCTTGACTTGGTGTTGTCAGCACCACGTTCAGCCAGTGAGCGAACCGGCCATCCCTATATGGGATCCGAACCCGGGGCCTTGGTGTTATCAGCACCGCACTCTACCGAGTGAGCCACGGGCCGGCCCAGGCCAAGGTTTTTTCTCTGTGGTCCTTCATCCCTCCTGCACCTCTGAACTCTCCTCACCTTCACCTCTTCATCCAGCTTTTGCTGTAGCTCCTCCACTTTTCGGGTGAGTTCACCCTGCCCTGCCAGAACCTTAGTAGAACCAGGAGAAACCATCTGCCAGAGGCATAGGGAATGGGGAGAAAGGAGTGAGTCCACATCCAGATCTCCTGAGGCCCTCAAGCCCCAACCCTGACCCTTGCTCCTACCCAGAGAAGGCCACTCACCACCAGAGGCTGCATCTGCTCCAGCACCAAACTAACCTTCCTTCTCACAGACACTTCACTTTCTGAACTTCTAGAGGATAAACAGACAGAAGCAAGGGTTAGGGCAGTAAAGAGGTAGCCGAGATAAGGAAAGGCTAAAAGCAGGAAAGAAGAGTAATAAAGCTAGAAAGAAAAGAAGGGAGGTGTGTGCCTCCACTGTGGGTGGGCCCCCACTCACCCCTCCCTCAGGATTCCATAGATGGTGGCCTTTACATGGTCCACACTGCCTGGTGGAGCTGCCTCCTGCTGGTCTCGAAGAAGGTCTGGAGTTGATTTGAACTGGGGAAGGGGGGGTGTAGAAATAGGAAGATTAGGCCAAAAGCATGCATGGGGTTCAGACAGAGTAGAAGAGGCATTTGGGAGACAAGGCCCTCCAAGCACAACAAACAAGTCCGAAGTGCGGTACAGAGGCAACACTGCTGAGGCCCGAGCAACAGGCCAGGGAGGTCCAAGCAGGATACACCTCACACTATTGTTGCAAGCCAGATCTTCCTCAACAAGCCGATCTCAACCAGCTGTGAACTGTGTCACAAGTAATTTGTCAACAATGATAGTTAACATACTAGAGTTTATAAATGATTTACTTTAAGAATGGACTTAAGTTTGTCCCAAAGTAAAGTCACTCTCTCACTCACTTGCACTCCTGAGTGGGAGAGAAAGGTGTGGAATTTTGGCAAGAGCACCAGGGAACTGCTCCAAGCCTGCCTTATGTACGCTACTGACCTAGCAAATACTGGTGACTGAGGCATGATTAATGGTGGGGACAATGAGAAGTAACTCCACATGCTGTGAATAGTGACTTTATAGTTAATTCCATTTTCTTTGGAATTTTACCCATGGAAGTATCCTGTGCATATGAGTATCACCTACTTAGTGGATGGATACAGTGGAAAATAAAAGGTAGAGACTTATTGCCCTAGGTTATTTGAATTAGCAAGGAGTCTCAGGGCTGGTGGGGTCAGACCTGATGAGAAGGGGCTTGTGGTTGGAAGCCAGGGAGGTGTTAGGTCTGACCTGCAGCATGGTGGGGTCCTGTGCTCTCCCCCGTGGCTCCTCAAAACTCTGAAGGACCCAGTCCTGGGTCTGACGGGAATGGCTAAAGCCACTGATAGACCTCTGGCTCTGGGTGGGCTGTTTTGAGCTGCCAACATGGTTGTCAGATTTTGTGCTAGGGGTCCAGTGGTTGGGGGACTGGCGCTCCCGTTCCTCCAAGGTGTCCCGTGGGAGTCGGCTGTCCAGGCTCTTGCTCCGCTTGTGCTGTTCAGGGGGCAGTGTCCTTGTTCGGCGGCCAGTCCGGCCCCGGCCCCCAAGTTGACTGTCAAATTTGCTGATCAGTGAGTCCACCGAAGACAGGGGAGCAGTGTCAATGGTGCTACCTGGGAAAGCCTCTTGTGGGGCTAGCTCAAGCAAACTGGTGCTCCTATTGCTGGGACCCATAGGGGCAGGGCCTGCCAGGGAGGCCTGGGACTGGGACCGGAGTAACCTTCCATTCCAGCCAGCCCCAGCCTCCTCATCAGATGTGCTACCCTGCGAGGGGGCAGGATATCCTTTGACCTGAGCGTAGGGGTTCTCAGGGAGTTCTGAATCAGAGCTCAGAGCACCTGGGGCCCCTCGGTTGTTGGACCCCTTGATTTGGACCCCAAAGGAGTCGCCACCTTTCTCCCCACTGTTGAGCACTACAAAAGGTTGCCCGGCAATGCCCTGTACACGCACAGCAACCCCATACGTATTGGCTCTTGAGTCCTTGGCTGGGCGTCGCCCCCCACGACGGAGGGTGCCCATCTCTGCACCACCCACTGGCTCTGTGATGAAGCGAATCTGGACTCCATGGTCTACAGGAACCCGGGGCTCAGCCATGGTGGATGCCTGCTCCATGGGCAGGAGGGGTCCTAGAAGATGAAGAAAAGAATTTAAGCTGAAAGACTTGAAGTAGAAACAGCTTTAGAGGGGCTGATTTTCTTGTCAATTCCTTCTACATAGAACTGTGATTCTCATGCTTTATCTGAGCAGCAGAATCACCTGGAGGGCCTGTTAAAACACAGATTGCTAGACCCTACCCCCAAAGTTTCTGATTCAGTAGGTCTGGGGTCGGACCTGAGAATTTGTGTTTCTAACCAAGTTCTCCAGGTGACATTGATGGTGTAGTCCAGATACCACACTTTGAGACGCACAGACCTAAAAATATCCATTTCCTCTGATACAGCCCTGGGGAGCTTGGCTTTAAGAGTATAAAGATTTCAGGCCGGCCCGTGGCTCACTCGGGAGAGTGCGGTGCTGATAACACCAAGGCCCCGGGTTCGGATCCCATATAGGGATGGCCGGTTTGCTCACTGGCTGAGCGTGGTGCTGACAACACCAAGTCAAGGGTTAAGATCCCCTTACCGGTCATCTTTAAAAAAAAAAAAAAAAAAAAGAGTATAAAGATTTTGCTTGATCTTCACACATACACGTATACCACCATGTTCCTCCTTCCTCCCCCAGTGAAGGCAGAACCCAAGCCCCACCAACAGATACCTCCATCCCACAGGAGAAAAAGGGGCCTCCTCTCCCAGAGCTCATTTAAAATATAGAGACCTCAAAGCGTGGCATTCCATTTCTGGGAAGACATTCAAAAAAACTGATAACAGTGATGTCCTTGGGAAGGGGTAATTGAGGGCTAAGGACAGGGATAGGAAAGTAGAAAGGGATGGGCTTTGTACTGTGTATCTTTTTGTTCCTTTTTAATTTGGAATCATGTAGATATATTATCTACTCAAGAACAGACTTAAAGTTGTAAGTGTGCCAGTCCAAGGGACCCTAGAACAGGTAGACTTATCCCATCCAAGGGCCAGAGCCATGGCCATCTGGAGGCCAGCTCCTCAGATCCACATGGCCCAAGCTCAGAGTCAGCAAGTAGAATGTATTGCAGGCATGCTCTGGCTCAAGGAACTTGGGAGGAGAGGTTCTCTTCCGAGCAAATAAACATATCCAGCTTCCCCACCCCTTTTGCTGGTCTCCACCAGAACCTAGCACCAAACTGGGGGATTTTCTAACATGCCAGACAGAAACACACACAAACCCAACTCAACCTCCCCAAGGAGTTCTGGGCCAAGGAAATTTGGCAAGGTCTCTTTCAGGAATTGTAGAAGTACTAGGAAGCCAGAAAGCCAGGAAACCAGGGTGAAATGAGAAGGGAGGAGAAGAGAAGGAAGGCACAAAGCTCCAAGAGCTTTCTCACCTGGGCTTGGTGAGGGAAACACTCTCCAGTCTGAGGAGAAGCATTCTTAGTGTTCCCAACTCCTCCCCTCAAGGAACAGGGAGGGAGGAGTCCTTTACTGAGAATGGTTCTTCACCCCACAGCCCTGGGACTCCACTGGAAAAAATGATGAAAGCAATGTACCCTCCCCCAGGAGACAGCCCACAAAACTTTTACCACAGAATCTTAAGTTTGTGAGGGCAGAGGGGTAAAGTAGTTCTCCATTGGACTAGTGTGAAGATCTAGCTTGGAATCCTAGCTCTGCTCTTCACTTGAGGTATATGACCTTGGGAAAATCAGAACTTTTCTGAGACTCAGTTTTCTCATCTGTAAAATGGGTATAATGACAATACCTGACAAAGGTAATTACCTGTGAGAATTAGACAATAAATAATTACACTGGTGTATACAACTGAAAAATTATTAAGTTATACAAAAGATTTTTGCACTCTACTATAAGAAAAAGAGGGCATGTGGTGGTATATGTGTATGTGCAAGTCAAGCAAAATCTTTAAACTCTTAATAAAGCCAGGCTCTGCAGGACTGTATCACAGGAAATGGATTCTTTTTGGTTAGTGGATCTTAAAGTGTGGAAATGACAAGATATTAAACATGAAAGCACCTAGCAGAGAATGCCTGTCACAAAGCTGACAACAAACATTACTCCTTCCAATGGGAACTTACTGGCATTACCTGGTTCATAATAGGATTGTCACTTCCTCGGAGAAGCCTTCCCTGACCATTCCCTCCCACAAACCAGGTCAGATCCATGTTATAAGCTCTACAGTTGTCCTTCAGTGGGTTTGCCTTAGTTTATCTTTATACATCTATGGGAGTAATTGACTTCTGTCTGTCTCTTCCACTAAATTATAAGCTCCTGGAGAGCAAAGACCATGGCTATCAGCTGACCACTTGTCAAAATGCCTGGTACACAGTAGATGTCAAAGTATTTGTTAAAGGTGTATCCTAAACTAAGGCAGACTTTCACAGCAGTGGGGAGATTTGCTCAAGAATCCCTCACAGCCATCTCATTTGCCCTAGTAACAGGACCTCTTCCTGATCTGGACTCCCAGCCCTATGCAGTCATTATCACCAGATGTGCCTAGACTGCCAGCTCTTACAAGTCACATGATTTATTCATGACACAGCTCTACCCTGTCAGTACATCTACTGATCTTCCAGATTCAGGTCAAGGAGTTCCCAGCCTAGGCCCAGCAGAGTGCACAGCCCCTTGGGTGAGAGCACCAAGTTGTTCAGAGGCACATCAAGTGCTCTCCCAGGGCCTAATGAATGACTCCTTAATTTCAATCGTCTTCAGTCCCAGGACATTTGGGTCAGGGGCCAGGAGGCTGAAGGGATCTTTAGGGGTGGGTCAGAAAGCAAGACTCTAAATGATTCAACATGGAAAACCCGAAACCTATCCGCCTTCAGTTACAGAGGACAACGGGGTGGGGCCGAGGGAGCAGGGCAGCTCCAAGGCCTTGCGTAAGCCCCAGAGCCAGGTAAACAGTGATCAGGTGCCAGGCAACATGGAGTCCAGAGCCTGTGCTCTCACCAGATGCCTGACCCTGCTTTTCCCCCCGCTGGCATATGCCCACGGCTCTTCTCACCAACTGTATTCTGGGAAGAGACCAAGCCACCAGTTAATTCAGCTTCATTTGTCTGCCTCTGCCATTCCTGCCTGCAAGCGGGGGGAGGATACTCTACACCTGTTTCAGACAGCCACTTCTCCCTGAGTTACTTATTAGCCTGCCCTGCCCCAATTCCATCACCTCTGGTCCAGCTATATGCGTCTGGCTTCCAACTAGGAGTGACAGGGTCCCTGGACTTGTGGCAGGAAGTGGGGGTGGGGTGGTTTCGGGTATGCAGCGGAAGGACGGATACACCCAGGGCTGGGCAATATGCTAGATGCTAAATAAGTGGCAGATTTAGAAAATGAGAGGACTAGAGGTATAACGATTAGAACCCCCTTAAAGATAACAAGGAAAGCAAATGATCAAAATAGAAAAGGACAGCTCAGTGACCTTGATCACTTGGCTCCCTTTTTCTCAGAAAGAGTTATAGAGTCTGACCAGTTAGCTCAGTTGGTTAGAGCACGGCGCTATAACACCAAGGTCAAGGGTTCGGATCCCTGTGCTGGACAGCTGCCAATAAATAAATAACTCCTTAAAAAAAAAAGTTATGGGGGCTGGCCCGTGGCTCACTCGGTAGAGTGCGGTGCTGATAACACCAAGGCCACGGGTTCGGATCCTATATAGGGATGGCTGGTTTGCTCACTGGCTGAGCGTGGTGCTGACAACACCAAGCCAAGGGTTGAGATCCCCTTACCGGTCATCTTTTAGAAAAAAAAAAAAAAAGTTACAGAAATAAGAGGGTTCCCCCGTTGATACAAAAAGAATCCCCCAAGTGAACTCCTGGCTAGGTCCACTGAAAAAAGCAGAAACCTGAGAGCCAGGCTAGAGCTGCTTGTCCAGTGGGGGGAAAAACGCTCAATGAGGAACTGGGCCCCCGCAAACTGGATGGACAGGTTTGAGAGGCAAGAGGAAAGGGAGGGCCAGGTAGACTACACTGGCAGCTTGTAAAGCAGACCAGAGAAACTCCACACCACAGGGGAGGTAGAGGTGCAAGACCATGAGCAGGAGCTCTGTCCAGCTTGGATGCCAAAGCCAAGGTTCTGAAGAAGCAGGCAAGAGGTGGGGAGAGAACAGACAGCAGGAGCCCTTGCACAAAGAACCTGGTGAGTGACAGACCAGTGTGTGACAGGGAGACTTTGTTTCCCTCTACCCCTCCCTCTGGAGTTCCCAAAGTTACATTCCTGATCCCACACTCGCCTTAGCCACCTCCCAGGCCCTTAGTTCTCCCCTCCCTGGCATGAAGAGAAGCAGCCCTACCCCCTCCTCACCTCCCACAAGGGTAATGGCATGCAGGCCAGCCTGGGAAATGCAGGAAGTGTTCTAGGAAGCCAGAATCCTCTTAGAGTAAAGCAAATCTCTGGATTAGCAGTCCCCCACAGCCAGCCCCCCAACTCCCAAATATCCAGGATGAAACAAGAGGTACAGCAGCACATGTAGGCAGCCTGTCTACAAACATAGCGGTTGCTAATTATTTCCCAATTACAACTTTCCACAGGCAGGGCATCAAAGGGGCCAGCTGAGGTTGGCTCCAGTTCCCTTATCTGCCTAAGGCAAAGGAATTTGCCTCAGAAGTCTTGTCTGGGCCCCAAAGTGCACCTCTCATCTGGCCTGGAGATTTGGAGGTGTAATTCCCCTAGTCCTGTCTTCTCCTGAGGAGTCCTGCCTATTTCCTGCACCACTAGTGCTTACTGCCAGTCTGACAGCCATCATAGTTCAGGAGTCAGGGATTCCTGGTAGGGTTTCAGGGAGGAATGGGGATTCCGGGAGACATCAAGGAAATTGGTTGGGCTCTCAGACCTCACACAATGACCCTCATCCAGAACCACAGAAGAAAAGAGGTGTGTTTGGAGGAAGAGTTTGACATGCATCCTCATATTCCTCTCTTGGAGATCTCTCTCTCTCTCTCTCTTTCCCTCCCTACCCCCTCCCCCCCTCTCTCTCGGCAGAAGGAAAAACTCTCCCTGCAAGAAAGCAAAGGACAGAAACTGAAAACTAGCAAAGAGATGAGG